GGAGGGCGGGTGGGAACGCGGTTCGAAGACGCGTCTGCTGTGGTTCCCCCTACTGAACGGCGTACCACATGGCGCAGCAGAGGATTAAACCGGTCAAATATTTTCATTTGATAAACCAGCCACTCACCGGACTAATCCGGTTGATGTTCTAGGGATGATGATGGCACTTCAAATGTAAGGGGTGTCAGTAAATTACAGGGTCTTGCCAGGGCGGCGCACATTTTCAGCAGCCGGAAAGTATCTGTTGTGAGATCGGCCCCAGCAGTCCTTGTTAGGCGCCCCTTTTGAAAATGATAAGTGATCAGTAATAACAACCTACCGGTGATAGAGTGGAGTTTTTGTCGCACAACCACATTGGGTGGTTGTCAACAGGGCGCCTTAAACTTCTTGATTGGCGTTGCGAGTCGCTTACACCTTTTTTCCGCGTTTTGAAAATGCAACAGAAAGGTATGAGTTCAACGCAAGAAGAAGATTACCTACGTCATCTACGGCATTTCTTGATAGCACTAGATGCACAAACGAAACTGATCTGTCGGTCTTCGACTTTCAACCCCTTAGCTACAAAGTGATTAGTCTCTTAACGAGGCCTACGTAAACTAAGTGCAGGGCATCTAACGGAAAACTAGTAATTAGATCTACACCGCAATCTGTAAACGGCTAAACTCTTACCCTGTGCTTACCGTCCGGTGGTAAATTGAAGTCCTTGTCGGTTCTCTCCCTATAGCCCTCTTCTAAATATACAAATTTCTCCTTATGTACCCCAGCAATTTCGTACCGCTTGCATCCCTGATAAGCATCTACGTTTTTGATCAGCTTCACGAACGTCACAGCTGGTGCGTCGCATGCAATCGCTGCAATACGTACAGTCGCCGCCATATGCCGTACTTTGTCAACGGTACGATTACAGAAGACATGCACATCGGCAGTCTTACCCTTCCTACAGTAAATCGCAACAGGAAGTATGTCAGAAATGAAAGAAGTGACCTAAAATAGGCCACAGTTCTATTTTAGTCTTGTGAAACACAGACCCTCCATTTGTGGCCAGATTGACAACCATCTTTTCTGGACCCACGCGAATCGATTCTTTAGATCTCCTGCACTTAGTTTACTTGGGTGTCGTTACCAGACTAATCAGTTTGTGCCTAAGGAGTTGAAATTGGAAGACCGACAGATCAGTTTCGTTTGTCCATCCAATACTATCAAGCATAAGTGACGTAAGCAGTCGTCTGCTTGTGTTGAACTCATGCCTTCCGGCTGAAATTTCCCAGTGCGAAAGAAATTTAAGCGATTTTAATTGTTGGAAGGGCGCGGAATTTAGACAATTCCTGCTATACCTGGGAGTAATAGTTTTGAGGGATGTATTACCGCAAACCCACTGGAAGCATTTCCTGCTTTTGTTTACGGCTATGCGTTACTCCTCCTGTCTTCAATTAAGCTTTCGTAACGCGAAAGGGTTGTTGCGATTGTTCACTCGTAGGTTTCAAGTGTTATATGGGCCAGAGCAGATTGGGCAAAATGTGTACCTAAGTATTCAAGGAGATAGGCTCCCGTTCAGACTTCTGCGTTTGCACACAAAATCCAACCTCAATGACAGGGTTCTTAAGACGGTTGAAACTGTCTTACCTGACTATTCATACCTTTTCGAAAATACGTAGGCTGAGCCGTAGCCGAACCCTCGTAAGAATATGATCCGTTCCGGCGTCGACACTATGTGCTGTGTGGATCTGCTACAGATATAGTTTAGTCTGGTCAGATAAGTGTATAGCTAATGGGATTTTACATTTTACGATCGCATAAATAAGAGAATATCAGATCGGTCTTGGAATATTTCGTTACGGTCAAAGTATTCGGCATAGCAAGCTTGCCAGGTCTTTTGTCACTTATAGTTTTCCATCAGATTGGGCGAAGATTTGTCTCGTTCCAATCTCTCCTGTTGACACGATCACACGTGGGCCACAAGCGCTGGCACTGCACGTTATTCGAACTCTGGTTTTACTATCCAGCGTGTTTGCACTCTGCTGCCGACCGAAATCGTTAGTAATACTTCAGTGGTAGAGGTGGACTCAGTTACCTCTGCCGGTTACATGTTGCACGAGCTGTGATCTGACAAGAGTACACCAGGACGACAACTAACGTCCATACTGCTGCCTCAACTCTGGCCTATTTCTTCTAGGCATTGATAGCGCGAAAAATCTCTTCACATCCCAGTCCGTTGCGTAATTCTTTTTTTTGGTTCGAACAAACTAGCTCGTTTTTCGCCCTGGACACCATAGCCTGAGCCGAGATCTGCAATGGACAACTTGCATGGCATATGCATTTAGAAGTTAGCGCAAATCGGCTGCCTTAGTTCCCAACCAAGCCTTTGCGTGTATCTGGAAGCAAGAACAACGTATTTTTGGGTATTTCACAAATGCGTTCTCAAAGTGCTGTTCTCATGCCGGTCTATCAGACGATGCTGTTGCGCGACTACTTATGCAACAGACGTATCTCAAGCACACCTAAGGTTGTTTCACTCTCTGCCGCCTCTATACGCCTTGGATAACTAGACGGCGACCTAACCCAGGCAGG